TAATTGCTTTATTAATTATTATCAAGGGAGTTTCGAAGTAGTTATATATAATTATAAGCTACTATACTATTTGTAATGGATGATACTCCTACTAATCACCTTTATTTGTTACCACACACTATATTTAGAGATGGTCTATTAAGTTTTCTTATTCACATCATGAATTACATAAACACCCAACTTCTTTTAATATTTTAAAAGATTATTTTAAAATTTTAATTTTGATTACAAACAAATTACAAATTACTTTTTAATGGAGCGAATTTTCTAGGATAAAAAAGTAGATTTTTCCAAAATTTTTAAAAATCAATAATTTTTAGTCTCCGGAAATATTTAAGAGTTTAATTTAATCGTACAAAGCTTTTAAACTGCAACTGTCAGGCATTGAATCCTGTCAATTTTGGAGTGGAGACTTAGGTGCTATATAGGTATATTATACCTATACCTGAGGTGCTATACTTAGGTGTTTTATTCTTAGCCAGGACAAATTTAGAACAAATTAGAAATATTATATAATTTTATAATATTAAAATATATTCTATTTAATGAAATAATTTATTGTAGTATATATTTTATGAATAATTAATTTTTCTTTCCCTCTCTCTATTTCTAGTCTCATACAACAACGACTGCCGACAATATTAAAAATACTTCTAAGTGTAAGAAAATTTCATATACATATTAAAATAATTATATTACATATTATTTTACATATTAGCAATTATTGGAACTACTTAAATCAAAATGTTTATACCAGTTGCACATAGAGCTTTTAAGTCTCTCCGACAAACCACACCCCGTGTTCGCATATTTCTTATAAATAAAAATGCCTATTCTAGTCAGGTAAGTTTATAGGATGCTTCTTGTATTTTCCCCTGAGTTGTAAAAGAAATACAATTTTTAAAAAAACATCTAGGTTGAATATAAACCCATACGTTCGGTGCTTGTTGCCAATCGTGGCGAGATCGCCATACGTGTCTTCCGTGCTTGCACTGAATTGGGTATTAAGTCCGTTGCTGTTTATTCGGAACAAGACAAAATGCATATGCATCGTCAAAAAGCTGATGAATCATATTTAGTTGGCAAAGGCTTACCACCTGTTGAGGCATATTTAAACATTCCCGAAATTATCCGTGTTTGTAAGGAAAACGATGTTGATGCTGTGCATCCAGGCTATGGATTTTTATCAGAACGGAGCGATTTTGCTCAAGCCGTTATCGATGCTGGTCTTCGATTCATTGGCCCCTCACCAAAAGTTGTGCAACAAATGGGTGATAAGGTGGCTGCACGTGTTGCGGCAATTGAAGCCGGCGTTCCTATTGTACCTGGTACAGATGGTCCAGTAACTACCAGCCAAGAAGCAATGGAATTTTGTAAAAAACATGGCCTGCCTGTTATTTTTAAAGCTGCATATGGTGGTGGCGGACGTGGCATGCGTGTTGTGCGCAAAATGGATGAAGTTGAAGAATTATTTCAACGTGCTAGTTCCGAAGCCAAGGCAGCATTTGGCAATGGTGCTATGTTTATAGAAAAGTTTATTGAACGCCCACGTCATATTGAAGTACAACTATTGGGAGATAAAGCCGGTAATGTTGTACATTTGTTTGAACGCGATTGTTCAGTACAACGACGTCATCAGAAAGTAGTGGAAATCGCTCCAGCACCGCGTTTATCAAAGGAAGTACGTGATAAAATGACCGAAGCAGCTGTACGTTTAGCCAGGCATGTGGGTTACGAAAATGCAGGAACTGTTGAGTTTTTGTGTGATGAGTCTGGTAACTTCTACTTCATTGAAGTTAATGCTAGGTACGAATATATAACTTTATAATTCTGAACCTTTTTATGTATAATATTTTTTAGATTACAAGTGGAGCACACTGTAACCGAAGAAATAACTGGCATTGATTTGGTACAATCGCAAATACGCGTTGCAGAAGGCATGACTTTACCGGAACTTGGTTACACTCAGGAAAATATTAAACCACGTGGTTATGCTATACAGTGCCGCGTTACAACAGAAGATCCTGCCAATGATTTCCAACCTAGCACTGGTCGTCTTGAGGTGTTCCGCTCTGGTGAAGGTATGGGTATCCGTTTGGATAGTGCTTCCGCCTTTGCCGGTGCCATCATTTCACCATACTACGATTCCCTCCTTGTTAAAATTATATCGCATGCCAGTGATTTACAAAGTTCTGCCTCAAAAATGAATCGCGCATTGCGCGAATTTCGTATTCGTGGGGTTAAGACAAATATACCATTTCTGTTGAACGTTTTAGAAAATCAGAAATTCCTACACGGCGTACTGGACACATACTTTATTGATGAACATCCCCAATTGTTTAAATTCCGCCATTCACAAAATCGTGCTCAAAAATTACTTAATTATATCGGTGAGGTGTTGGTCAATGGACCACAAACTCCTTTGGCTACTGGCTTGAAGCCTGCCGATGTAACTCCACATGTACCCGAAGTGCCTTTAGGTAAGTACAATTTTCGCCTTTATATGTGAAATTTGGCTTCAGTGTTGCTAGCAGTAAAGTTCTATGACTTTTTTAAGTTTTCCTCTTTCATAAACACATTTTTCTATTCAAGCTTTAAGATAAAGGAATATCATACAATAAAAATTCTTTTTTGAAATATTTCATTAAGTAAAATATATTACTATCAAAAAAGACTTCAATAAAAAGTAGTTTATTTAGTTTTTTTTTATATAATTGAATGCTATTGGAATAAATACATTATTGACATATTTTACTGTACCTATGTGCCTATTTATATTGCCCATAAACTTGCAGTTATTTATACTTCCAGTTCATGGTAATATGTAAATTTACAGAAGTAGGAGCAGTGCCTGGTTGAATATAAATGATGCCATAATGAAATAGAATCAATTTTGTTTACATTATACGAACAAATTCTTGTTCTGAATGCGAAATACTATTAAAACAATGGACATGACCCCTGTCAGTATATTCTAACCTGTTGAAGCTTGAGAACGCATAATTGCATATACGTCTACAACTTTCAAAAAAAAAACTCACGTGTAAACGAGAAAGATCACCTTTAGCTGGTAGTCCTTACTATATGCTCTAATATAATATGTATAAATAATTATAAGATTTATATTGGTAAGCACAAACATCTTCCAAAAATTTCTTTCAAGTTGATTATAGTGGCATGGGAAAATTTTAAAGTTTCAAAAAAAAATTCTGATATTCCACTTGTTTAAAAGAGGATATAATCTTCCTCGAAATTGACTACCCGATAAAAGTTTATGATACGATACAACACATTCTTTCATAAGGATGTGTTCTCCCACCCTTTCATAAACAAATACTCCAGTATATAAAAGAAGTTTATAACTAATATTGAAAGCTCTCTTACTTCTCTCCTTTTCATACTTTCCCATCCACTCACCTATCTCTTTCTTTTTCATAGCTTTCCAAACCTATTTGTTAATAACATGATACATCCTTTATCTTAAAGAGTCGTACTCACATTACTAGCGCATGCTTAGCACTGAGAAATAATTCTGCACTATTTTTAGTAGATCAGTAGATATATTTCGATCGATTTTTTTACTGTTCTTGAACTTTTCTTTGATTCTTTGATTCTTTTATTTTATGTTCTTTTTAATAAATTCTATTATTTCGTTTTCTTTTTATTGTAAAATTCTGTATCATTTTGTAATTAACAAAAATTCGAAAAACAAACACGTTTACATATAAACTTTTAATACCAATATGTGAAGATCTATCGCCTGAGGCACTATTGCGTGAAGAGCGTGGCGAAGCTAAAGGTATGTGAAAAATACACTTGAAAAAATTTTATTTGATATTAAAGAAAAATTTTTTTTTCAAAATTATCATAAGTTCACAAATTTATTTATAATTATCTTTTGGCATTTTGGTTGAATATTTTTAAATTTTACATGATTTTAATGGGACTTTGGAAAATTTATGTTATTTTTATAATTATATTTTGCGTATTTTTTAATAAAATTTTGAGCAATGCGTTTAATTCTTTAATAATTTCATTAAAGCTCAGCTTAAGCTATTAATATAATAAGCATTTTTGTGCAATTGTATATATTACAATAAATTCTTATAAACTTTATTTTAAAGAAAACGCTTGCCGTTATCCGAATTTCTGGAATCTGTAAAGAGCTTGCAAGAAGCTTGCAGAGCTAAATGCAATGATAAAAGCATACGTTTTCAATTGATGAATATTCTTATGTAATATATTTATTTAAAATTAATTTATTTTTTTCTCTTACTCCCAACCATTTAAAAAATCTCATTGTGTTTTACAAAATCAAAAACATTACACAGTCACGGAACCTCCAAAAGGATTACGAGGCATACTCAAGTCTCAGGGTCCTGAGGCATTTGCCAAAGAAGTACGGTCTCGTAAGAATTTAATGCTCATGGATACTACCTTCAGAGATGCTCATCAGTCACTATTAGCTACACGTGTACGATCACATGATCTATTAAAAATTTCACCATTTGTTGCTCACAAATTCAATAATCTATACTCTTTGGAAAATTGGGGTGGTGCTACTTTTGATGTTGCTCTACGTTTCTTGCATGAATGTCCATGGGAACGATTGGAAGAAATGCGTAAACAGATACCAAATATACCTTTCCAAATGTTGTTACGTGGTGCTAATGCTGTCGGTTATACCAGCTACCCGGATAATGTTGTGTACAAATTTTGCGACTTAGCGGTATGTTTACATAAAGATATTGTACATAAAATAGTAAATTTTTTTTTATATATATTTTATATAGTATCTTAACATATACTTTTGCCCAAAAAAAAGTTTAGATATCAATATTGTGTGGAACATTTACAAATTTTAAATACATATTATGTAGAATATAGAATGCCA